TCACCCTCCCGCGCCGCGCAAAACGCTTTTCTCGCGGGTTGCCTCGGAGACCCCCGCGCAGGCGAGTCAAACGACGGCTGCGGATCTTCCTCCCGTGTTGCGCAAACCGCTTTGTCCGCTGGCTGTCGCGGAGATCCCCTGCGCGCGGCCTGATTCGTAGCGGCAGAATTTCTGGTGGTAGTAGTAGTAGTACTAAGAGCGGGGTTCCTTTTAGGGGTACGAGGAGACGCCGCGAAGCGCGCTACAGCCCATCTCATGTCCGTCTCCGCCGCCGCCGCGCCATCTCGCTCGCGCCAGGGAACGGGAGATGCGGCGGGAACTACGGCGGGATGTGTGGCGGGAGGCCCGACGGGAGATAATGCGGGAAAGCTTGTTTCGGATACATCAGTCCCTGTACAGTACGTGTCGCCGTGTGTGGCGACACGCGACAACGCATCGTGGCCGCCCATTATTACCCGATGATCTGCTACTAGCGATACTATTGGTGAATTTTGAGATGAGTCGTAACTAATTCGACAACTACACCGTGAAGTGACTTCCCGAATCCGAAAGTTTCTGAAATGTGCGCCGCCCGGGCGTTGAGCGGCGTTGGCGACGTTGCTTGTAGACGACGGCAAACACGAGGTCGAAAGGACTGATGGTCGAAATGACTGACTGATGGTCGAGATGACTGATGGTCGAAATGACTGACGGTCAAAGGGGACGTTCGCGAATCGCGACGTGACGTTGCTCCGTGCTTGAACGAACAGGAGGTCGCTTTTTTAGAATCTTCAAGATTAGCCAACAATTGGTCAAGACGACGTTTTCCCTCTGAGGCGCAGGCCTTCGGGATGGTCAACGGTGTGACTAGTAGGCTGATGGCGTGTGCAAAGTACGCAAAAACTCGACGTCGAGCAACGTCGGTGAATTTCCACCCTCGGATCAAAGGTTCCAACCGTCAGGATTCACCGACGTCCCTCGACGTCGAGTTTGTGCAGCACTTTGTACACGCCTTAAACGATGTGTGATGACAGCGTAGCCGCCTTAATCGTCGTCCTGAAGACATCTAGGTTAACGTTTCGGGTTGAGCCTACGATACAGTATTCCCCATAAAACGCAATCGTCACTGTGATGTGATACAGTAATTGATATCTCGCATCGCATAGCAAGGGTTTCGGTTCCGATCGGATCGTGTGACGTGTGAGATGATGACTTGGCCAACGCGTCTGTCGCATTGCATGGCACGGCGCCGTGTGGTGCACGTGCCTTTCCAGCAGCGAGGCTTCTCTCGCAGTTGCTCAGCGACGCAGCGTTATTTAGAGCGTGTCCAGAGTGAAGCGTCGAATGGATATAGACGGATGTTGGTAAATGTCAACCCTTGGATCGAGAGTTCCAACCGTCACGATTTACCGACATCGCATGTCAACGGTGTCGACTTCACTTCGGACCCGCCTTTAGCAGCTCAGCAGCATAGCGCAAGACATTAATCACCTCATGTCGAGACAAGAACGTGCGGCGTCGCGCTGGCGTCGACGGTCAAAGTTTGCCCAACTGGGCGTGTCGCTCGTACAGCCACCCTCCTTTTGAGAACAGATGCGTCCGATTGGGCGTGAAACTGTACCCTATCCCATCCAGTGCGCTGGAGGGCGGGTGGGGTGCAAAGAATTGCACCCCGAAAAAACAATCATCTGTCTCTACAGTTTATCAATCAACAAACCAACAGAGAACATGTGGGTGAACCTAGGTTGCGCTGATGACTCTCTGAAACGCGAAGCAAACTCCGCGTTTTTCTCCGTCCTTCCACAAAGAGCACAACCTGTACGCATACTGCGTGGGCAGCACTAGACTGGAACAGCTGTTCGCTGGTGGAATCATAAATCTTGTGAACACATGTGAAGTGAATGCAGGCAAAGGTGACATGGGCATGTTTGGGTGGAGGTGAGCAGTGGGGCTCAATCAGGTGGTCTGTAAGATGCAAGCCAGAGGCGTTGATATGCTGTCTGTCGTTCGTGGGTGTGCGAGGGAAAAGAGTCGTTGCGGGGCAGGCGGGGGTGCTTGCTTGGTTCGCTCACAGCACAGCACTCCTGTCAGACAGGCCGCGGTTCGGTGTCTGGTGGTGAGCAGGCCTGTCGCTTGCAGGGCGTTTGCCCTGCTGGACCTTGAATTCCAGGGCTGGGTTGCCCTTGAAAACTGAAATTGATGGGTTGAGAAAATTGTGGCCCTGATTCATTACAGGGCTGATTTCGGGCTTAGGTCTGGAGTGTTAAGGGTGGATTTCAGGCGAGCCCTGGAACATAGTCTTTCGAACTCCCCTCCCACTCCTCCCCCCCCCCCCCCCCCTCCCCCCCCAAACTCCTCCATTCCCCCTCCCCCCGTTTCTATTTTGATTGCATTCAAGCCTGTCAAATTTGGAGTTGCGTGGCTGGACCACAGATTCAACTCAGCCAACAACTGGTACTTGTACCAATTACAACCTCGCTCCCATCCCATGACACACAGACAGTAGCATGAACCAACATGCAGCAGCAAAACACATCTCAGATCCCCGTCATGTTGTGCACCCTCAGGCCTGAATGGGCATAGCAAGCAGCAAAACACATCTCAGATCTTTGCTAAGAGTTGGAAGAGGAGGAAGTCTGTTACGCGTGCGTAGTGAATGACGCTAACTAGTTTTTTTTTTGCTAACTAGCTAATTTGATACTAGCGGAGTGCAGCTGTCAGCTTTGTGGTAGAACTGAGGCTGCAGAATTTTCCGCGGCAAACCTGATTTACAGGGAGGAATAAATTTCAGCCCTGAAGCCTAAAGGGCCGAGATTCGCCCCGACCCTGCTAAATACAGGGTCGTACATGCCGGGCCCCCTGATTTGTCCGGGGGGGCCAAAACGAAACGACAGCCCTGGTGGTGAGTGTGCTTCAAAAGCTACACAAAGGAATGCGCAACAGAAAAACAGAATTAACAGGAGCGGAAAGTGTTGTTACACTCGCCTGATTGAAATTTCAAGCATCCAGCATTTGACGTCATTCATAGCCCTCCATATCTAGGTGTCTAACTAAAACCCCCGAAAGTAGGGCAGGGTTCATATGAAAAGCGGAAACAGCCAGGGTGGGAAGTTGAAAATACGGCCATTTTCAGGTGCATGCAACTTAGCCTAGGAGCGCTATTCAAGTGCATGTCAGGTGATTGTGCAGGTGCATACACGTTTCTCAGGATAAACAATGTTTCCCGTAATTTTACGAAGCAAAAATGCATTCATTGCACTGAGTGACGTCGGAAAATGCAGCATCGAGAGCCAAACATTCCGATTCCGATTCGCGTTGCCCGAAATTGCATCTATTTCAGACCTTTTGTGCAAATTCGAATCGAATTTCGGTGAGTTGTACAATTACGGAAGCAATTGTTTAACCTGAGAAACGTGTATTCACATGCACAATAACCACTCGAATAGCGCTCCTAGGCTAAGTTGCATGCACCTGAAAATGGCCGGTTGAAAATAGCGGTGGTTTGAAGTAGTACATTGGTACCGCAATTTCTCGATACTGTAACATGCGATTTCTGACCTGGCGGGCAAGAAATCCAATTTCGTGAAGCTGGCATGTTTGATGGGGAAGATATGCTTGATGGGAAAAAAGGGGGGGGAATAGCTCCCAAGACGTCGCCCCCTGTCTGTGTATAAGATCAAATGTGCAAAGCATTCAGGTGTATAGAAGGTATATATATAACTACTGTGGATGTCGTACAACTATTTAATGCACAGCTGCTGGAACCTCTGCTTCAAACACTGAACACAAGCATGAAACAATTAAATAAATACAGAACAGGCGAAATCATACAAAGGTGCTAATTCCAGCTCAACTCAGCCCTAGATGCATTTTCTACTGAGGAGCACCGCAAAACTGCCCAGTGCCCATGGTTGCAAACACCCACATAATGAGCCTATCTTCAACATCACACATTCCTGCCATTGAGACACATCAACCCATAAACCCGGGTGCTGAATCAACAGCTGCCCCACCCCATGAGGCGCTGCGCTTTCTCTCAATCCTTGTTCCTATCTCAGAAGCAGGTGGCATGCCATAATGTGGTGGATAAACCATAGCACCTGGAACCATGGTTCCCATAGCCCCATTCCCCGCCATACCTCCCCCCACATGGCCCACAGCAGGAACCATAGAGTTCCAATCAGCAATTGGTACAGCACTACGAGACGGTCGATGCCGGCCGCCCATTGCAACAGCACTACCAGCTCCTCCACCTCCACTCGTACCAGGTATGATTCTGTTAGCCGGGGCAGAGCCATCACTGTTAACACACAAGGTGGTGGCAGAATCGAAGCTTCTACTGGCAATGTGGTAACCAGGTAACGGGTTACCAGCCTGGAAATGACCAGATCCGAGGCTGGAATGCAAGGGGCCAGATGAAAAAGGCCCTGTTGCAGAACCACCTGGAGGGAAACCCCTGGGTAGTGGGGGGAGATTGCTAGAGGAGGGAGGGAAATTGCTAGAGGAGGAAGGGAAATTGCTCGAATGAGGAGGGGCATTGCTAGAGGAGGAAGGGAGGCAGGTGGAGGTGGTGGATCGGGTGACAGGAGGACCCAAGCTGAGGTCACTGAGAGGTTGACACACGGCTGATCCTGGTCCTGCTGCTGACTGTTGAGTTGGTTCACAAGAAACGGGTGACTTTGGTCTTTGCCCATGCAGCTGCATCTGCTGCTGCTGCTGCTGCATTTGCTGCTGCTGCAGCTGATATTGCTGTCGTTGCTGCTGCTGCCACAGGCCAGCAGAATGCTGCTGCAGAGACAGGTGCGCTGCTGGTTGCGCCTGTCCCTGCCACTGCCCCTCCCTCGGGCCTTGGGGCATGTTTCCTTGAAACTGCTGAAACTGCTGGTACTGCCACTGCTGCTGCTGCTGCTGCTGCTGCTGATACTGGGCAAACATTCCTCTGTACACACCTCCTACGCTAGCTCCTACACCTACTGCCCCTCCTGCTGCTGCTGCGCCTGCCCCCAATGCCCCTACGCCTG